GCGCCTCGTCTTCCACAGAGTCCGCCGTCTTTATACAGTAGCCCAGAATGGACACTGGCTCTAGAGAGGAGCTTGGCGAGTTCCGCGCACCCATAGTTTCCCACAACGCTTGGAAGTAGAGGGTGAGGCGAGTGGTAATCATTGGTTGCAATCTGCACGCTCACCACTAGGTGGCAGCTACTACAGCTGTATGAATCCAAAGTTAACATTTTGCTGTGATTAAATGACATTAAACGGATCAAACTGATGCTGAAATAACTACAATATGATGCCGATTTGTTAAACATATAAATTCATGCTTTGTCACTTCTGTCAACAAGTCAGCATGACAACAACTTCTAAATTGTTTGTTTTCTGAATGTAGTTTGGATTGATCAGGGCTACGCTATGCTAACTTGTTCACAGTAAAGTACAACGATAGCTGGTATAAAGTTACAGACACATATTTTCTGAACTCACCAGGTACTTCAACTTCCTCGCTTTCTTTTCTCCAAGTAATGTCCAGATTTGTCCGGTTTTGATATAAATATGAAGTAGTAGTCCAACAGAGCTCTGGGTGCCAACCGACGCTAACAACAACAGTGGGACCGGACGTGCGCGGAAGCTAGCTGCTGAGAAGCTCGAGTGAAGATAAATCAACATTGTAATCCCAAAAACTAAAGTAAACAGCTAATTTAATAAAAGCAGGTAACTCTGAGCTCCTCCCGCGAGCAAACGGCGTAGTTCTCATAGCATAAACCAGACGGACTACAGGTGTTTATTTGTCCAAAAGCTGCAGCGCTGCTCCCGGCTCTTCTCCCCCAAGTTTAGCAGCTCTCCGCCGGCCAGCAGAGTTTCAATCCCCCGCTCTGCCTGGTCTCTCCACACAACGCTCTGAGGCCGTCGGAACGTCCGGACAATCTCAACGCTGATAGGCTATCGCGGCTCAGCATCATGTGACCTTCTTGCTCAAGTTGAAAATGTTCAACTCACGCGTTGCCGGCAGCGCCGTAAGTTCCTCACTCAACATCTGTCTGGCCACAAGGCAAGGCCGAGGCGCTGTAGCTTAGTGGTTAAAGCGCCTGTCTGTAAACAGGAGAGCCTGGGTTCAACTCCCAGCAGTGCCTTGTCGTTACAGATTCTTAATGTCTGCAATGTTTAATCTGTTATGTAGTGAGGATCCCCTGCTTAGATGTTATTCATGATGAAAAACTGAGTGTTTCACCCTTTCTCACTGCATAGTATGTGTTTGCTGTGTAAATCTATATGTATACTATCCAACGAAGGTTAAAATCAAGGGCAACTGCACTTGGTTGAACATATTGGAAGACGTTTCGTCCCTCATCCAAAGGACTTCTTCAGTTCTGACTGACTGGCAGGGAAACTCACCTATTTAACCTCAGTGGGGTCGTTGGCCAGGGTCATCGATACCGCTGGTTCGTTAGTGTTCCTGGTTGCTGTGACGACAGTGGTTACAGTCGTTAGGACTACCGGTGGCCGAGACTGAACGACCATCGTTGGTATCTTCACCTGAGGCCAATAGGTTACGTTTGTTGAGTTTCCTGGGAAGAGATGAAAGGACAGCATTGTAAGTGGGGGATAAGTGGTGGCGTAGACCCCCTCCTCGGTTCAATGACGGCTTCTCGACCCGGGTGTAGATGGCTTCCTTGACACCTCTTTCAAACCATCCATCTTCCCTGTCTAAAATGTGCACCTGGTGGTCCTCAAACGAGTGTCCTCTGTCCTTCAGATGTAAGAAGACTGCAGAGTCTTGACATGAGGAGTTGGCCCTTCTGTGTTGAGCCACATATAGAGCCTCTCTATATGTATACTAGATTAGCAAGAATGTCTGAGAAGTTCATTCAAACTTGTCTTTGCATTTCACCAGGAACTTCGACTAGTGAACTTCTGATCTTATGCAGCTCCGAAAGTACTGGTAGCTCTGCTGGTTTAGAAGCTGGTAAATCAACTCTATAAAGGCTCAGTCATCTTTATTTTTAAGGAAAACAGCAATTATGCAGGCTTAGTTGGTTAAAGTGCCTGTCTAGTAAACAGGAGATCCTGGGTTCAAATCCCAGCGGAGCCTTATGGTTACTGTCCCCTACATGGGCATCATCTTGTTTGGTAACAGAGAAGACGTGGATTCAAATCCTTTCTTCCCTCGGAATAAAGACAGAAGGAGCAACTACACCACCTTGTCCCACACCCGTACCATCTGGGTGCAAACCAGAAGCCCTGACCGAGTAGTTTGTAGCTGCAGTACCGGAGGATGCAGTTTCAGGACAGCGACCCTTGTTTACTTTGCGCGAGCTAGCTAGCAGTGTTACTCTTGAAAGCCCCCCAAAGCCAATTCCCCTTACCACAACCATCACAGGGTGTTTGCCTAAACCTAGGTTATTCATCATATGCATGTCAACCGGTTAACACTACAGAAACCTACAGACAGGGTTAACCTCCTTCATGTTGCTGTGCATTACCACCACCGCTCGACTAGATGGCGCTATCGCAAAAGAACTACGGTCCTAGAACTGCGATCGCAGGATTGCGGGGTTCCTGAAACTGCAGCCTCGGGATTAGCTCAAGAACAGTGCGTAGAGCGCTTCATGGAATGGGTTTCCATGGCCGAGCAGCTGCATCCAAGCCTTACATCACCAAGTGCAATGCAAAGCGTCGGATGCAGAGGTGTAAAGCACGCCGCCACTGGATACTAGAGCAGAGGAGTCGTGTTCTCTGGAGTGACGAATCATGCTTCTCTGACTGGCAATCCCATGGACAAGTTTGGGTTTGCCGGTTGCCGGAAGGGAAATTTGGACAAATGGAGGACCACACGTATTATTTAGCCCAGGAGCCGACAGAGCTTGTCAGCCACCGTAGCGTCTCCTGGAGAGGGAGGCGGGAGCGGTGACTGAGTCGTTTATTGCATTTCACAACCCTCACCACTAGATGCCACTAAATACTACACACTGAACCTTTGTAAACAGCAGATCCTGGGTTCAACTCCCAGCAGTGCCTTGCTGCTACAGATGTGATGTTTGTGAGAGAGATTGGCAGAAGTAAAATGTAGTCTGTATTAATGTATAATCACCTAAAATAAGAATCTGTTGGTTTTTGTTATGAGCCCGTTATATCATTAAGCCCTTTATTGTCATTAAGGAATTCTTAATGTCTACAATGTTTAATCGTTACTTAGTGAGGATGCCCTGCTTTGATCTTATTGATATAAAATATGATGAAAAACTTAGTGTTTCGCCCTTTCTGACCGCATAGTATGTTTGTTGTGAAAATATATATGTATACTATATTAACAAGAATGTCTGAGAAGTTCATTCAAACTTTTCTTTTCATTTCACCAGGAACCTCGACTAGTGAACTTCTGAGCTCCGAAAGTTCTGGTAGCTCTGCTGGTTTAGAAGCTGGTTTGGTAACAGATGTGTATTTAAATCCTTTCTTCCCTTGGAATAAAG